TAAAGTTAGCTGTAATTATTAAAATTTGTTTTTATAATTTTCAAGATCGGTTGGATATATAGTATTTGTTTCGCGAATCGTAAATTTGCATTTGCCAAAAACTGCGATCTACCCTTACTTATTCTTGCCCCATCTGTATCCCAAGCTGCTAAAACCCATTTAAACAAAATACAAATTCTCCAAAATAAATTAATCCGAAAAATATTTCATGCACCCTGGTATACTTCCAACGCTCAACATCATAATGAACTGGAAACGAATATTATATTTTCTCTAATTTTTTTCACAAAACGTTAAACTTAAATTTTCTATATAACTTACTAAAGAAAAGCACTTTCAATTTAGGTCAAACATATTAATCTTTCGACGCATTCTATGAAAATTTCCTAAAGATATATTCCACACACCATAAATTCTAAATTTGCAGTATATTATCCTTCTTCTCTGCATATTATTTACAGACTTCTTTTCTTAATAACTTAACCTCCTTTCAAAAATTTAAATGAATGAAATCGTCACTTATTTATTTGTAATGTCCATACCCGTGAAAGACAAATATGTCGAACAGGTAGAAATAAATTTTAAAAAATACAACTTACATTTATGTGGATCTGACACTTCAACATTTTTTATCCTGATATTCTTGAATAAATTTATATTTATCAAGTCACATTCACTATGATTTTTATACTAAAATTCTGTTAGAAAATCAATGAAGTAATGCTACAATAAACTTTACTTGAAGTGCAACTGTTCAACGGTAAAACTAAAGCATACAGAAATTATTAATGGAAAACCATAAATATGTTACAATTATCATCTGCTGTAAGTTCTAAAATATTGTAAAACTGACCAAATGGGGAAAACTCTTTGCGAAAAACATTAACTGGTTTACAACGTTTTAACTCGTTATTGAAGTTTTCAACGGATATATAGAGCGGGAATCATAAAAACAGATAAACATATTGAAATGGTGATAAAACACAAAAAAAGAAATTGAAACACGGCGCATTTTCAATACATTCATCCGTGTGTGACAGCCATTCAAAGCATTTTAAAATATCAGCTTCTGTTCATGGGGTAAAGTCTATTCCATTCGTTGTATTTAATATATATAAAAAAATATGGAAGCATGTTTCGCATGTACAGTTATCCTTTCCCAACATAGTGCAACTTCCTCCTCAACCATCTGTGTAATGACATCGAAGTAACCAGTTTTATGTAAATGTGTCGGGGACATTGAAAATCTCAAATGATACAGCTCTGTTAATTTTTGAGATATAAGTCTTGATATATAAAAGTTAGTTGCTCATTAAACTTCTCTTCCAGACAACAAACGATAATCAGACTGAGGTCAGTGTACATTTTTGAGAAAATCAACAGCAATTTTCAGTTCAATTATTTTCTATCGATCAAAACATTGAACTGGAAAGGATTAATAAATTAATTCTCAGAAGCTCCGGTGATACTAAAAACACATTTTGTAATATTTTTAAAAAAAATTAACAACATTGAACTAAATAGTTATGAAGTAGAGAAGACCGTAGACCACCACACAGAATAGTCCATATTAAATATGAAATTGTACTTGTAAAAAAAATCTTCACAATTTCCAATTAATATATGAGAAATATATATTACTGCTGCTCAGTTACATATTTTACAGACAATATTACGGTTTAATTTGTACGTGGTTGTTTAAGTTAAAGAGAGATATAAAGTGGCAAGAACGGAATTAATTAATTTTAGGATGATCTGGAAACTCGGTGTCGATGTCTGTCTAAGCAAAACCCACGGTGTTTAAGCTTTGGTGGTTCAGAGCAACAATTGATATCACTGCAGTGTCGGGTTGCCAACCGTCCTCCATTTGGGAGGACAGTCATTCATTGACACTATTGTCCTCTCGTCCTCCTTTGAATTTTTAATGTTATGCTTTTAGTAAATTTTAAATGTTTGTTGTCATTTATTTTATTTCGTAACTAACATCTGATTTGTTTAATTTAGAATAGAAAACAGTTCTGAAAATCCATTTTCTGAACTCTGACACACGCATACACTATAATGTCTCTGTTTAGCGACTAAAATAACTAGTGGTGCTACAAAATGGCATAGACTTTCCCTTAATTTTCTATTTCCTTCGATACCAGCTAGCTATTCGGACTTGCCACATATTCTTGCTAGCTGCCATTTATTGCCGTCCAAAGTACATTTTTTTTGATATTTTCTTAACTTTTCGGTTTCCTAATTGTAGACCGGATATGTTATTTTACAATTATTATATAACAGTAAAACCTCGTCCTAAATGGCAATTTTCTTTAAAACATTTGGAACAGTTTTGAAAACACTGGCGTTTAACCGCTACTGTAAATTTGAAATTTGAAGCTCTTTTGAAGCACAGAAAATTTTTGAGTTTTTGAAAAATTTCATTTGAAGTCATTTTAAGTACTTTAAGCCACAAATGCAATTGTATTTACAAATTGCTGTAAATGAACATATTAAAGGCGTGAGAAATCTTTAAAAAAAAACCTTTATGTTTTTGAGAAAATGGTGTTTGAGTGTTCCTGAAAATGCAAAATTTTGAGCGTTTTCACAGAAAACAGTTGAGTTTTCGAGAAACTTTATATGATATTATTTAAAGCATATACTCAAAAAATACAATAACGTGAAAAAATGTCTGCTGGTATAAATATTAACGACAACAAATCACGTTCATCACGTCTCAGTATCAACAGCTCACTATCAGAAATCCACATAAAATACACGTACGTTACTTTACAACACATTGCCAGATGACATTAAACATTTGAAATCGGTTCACAAATTTAAGTTAAATGTAAAATATTTCGTGTTGCATAACCATTTCTATACTATTAGAGAGTATACTGATCTTCAGAAAGGAAAACAATGTACATTTTAACAAAACATAACGAATTAGTTGGGCCTTGCGTTGTATACTTTTTTAAAGCCATAATATGATTGTAACAAATAATATACTTCAGCTTCCAGGTCAATTACCCTTACCCAATTACCCCGATAAGGTTTTGTCTAGTTTCCCTGATCCATTGAGCAAATGCTGAGATGGCCCCTTGTTTTGCTTCTGGGCGAAGATCTAACTTCACTATGAGCACGTTTTGTTGAACTCTCCTTTTGCTTGTAGCGGAAGGAGTAGAGGTAAGGGAGAGTTACTATTTTGTTAGCAAAAAAGAAACATAATATCGTATTCACAATTATATTCGTAATATTATATGAGAATTACATTAATTATAATGTTTTTGACAATTTAACTTAGGTTTCTTGTGTCTGGTGAAAAAAAAATTAATTTTGCTAAAATTTGAAAATTCTTTAAAGAAACATCTGAAATACTCAAAAATTGAAAATCAGAGTAAAACACGTACAAATATAACACGTCCAACTCATTGACAGAAATGTTTGTGTCTGTAAGTAATATACACATCCCTGTTGAACACATTTTTCAAGTTAAAATCTGGCTCTTGTCTAATGAAAGTTTGATACTCCCGTTTCATAGTAGTTGCACTTTTTGATCAAGATTTGTTCTAGAAGTCTTTATTATTTGCCAACAGTTCTCTCAATATACTGGGCATTCACAAGTGCCAGGGATAAAGAAGAATGATTTGGAAGAGTCGGCGCAACATTTCGTATTTCACATTTTCAAAATTTATGTAAAAATCCTATATTGATTTCTCTCCTTCCACTTATCCAAAATAGACAGCTTCAATAATCAAAGGCAACGCAAACTGTAAATTTTCAAACTGGTACGTTTACAATTTAGACTTCGATCTGTGGTGGATTTATACAAAAGTCGTCTACCTTATTACAACAGTCTATATATATTCACTTTTTATCTACATTGCTGAAAGTCTCAATTGCTAAATAAAATAAAGCATACCTACTAGAGTGAGAATTCAGAAAAAAATTATACACGAGTACTCTTATGAAGATGATGCGATGATTATGACATACAGTAAGCAGATGAGGGTGAGATGACCAATGATGTGTAAATTAAACATTATTCCGCCCTTTATTATTATATTTTTATTTGATTTTTTCTATTCGATTCTCCTCCGCGAACCTCTGGTCTTCGCACGTTGTTTTGACCCACTGCAAAGTTCTTCCCCGTCACACCTCGCCGGTCGCAGTTCATTGTGGAGCGCTCGCCCGCTCGCTCCAGTGCGCGTGCCTCCGCCTCCATCGCCGCCCCGTGCTGCTAATGGTTCTGCCCAGCGCGCCGCCCGCCGTTGTGCTTCGTTTGCTTTATTAAGTAATTAACGATATTGAGTCGTGATTGATCGCTTAGATAACCGCCACCAAGATACGAGCGACTCGCTGATTTGCTTTTAACGACGAATTAATTTAAAATATACGTGTTCATTGTTACAGACTTCTAATTGTATAACCATGTACACTAATATCTGTCGTTTTAATTCTTCCAGGATTTCAGATAAGGAGACGTACACGAGGTACCCAGCTGGCGGACGAGCGCGATGGCGCTGATAGGGTAAGTAAAAGGAGATATTAAACATCGACACGAGTCGTGTGTGACATCAGATAGCCATCACGCGTTGCGTGTCTCACTCGGTGCGTAAGTAAGTCAACGCCTGGCCGCTCAGCGCCGGGGGACGCGCCCTCCCACGGTTCGACCGCGCCTTCAGAAGCGTCAACCGAACGGCATGTTTTTCCCCGGAAGCTCCGGCTCTTTCAAAACGTTGGACCCCTCCCCTCCCCTCCCACGGCCTCCTCAAGCTAACGCCTTCCTCTTCTCTCTTACACGCGTAAATATAATGCCTCGGAAATAGATTCGTGAAAGGAGAAGGAAAAATACTCCAAATGGAACTTCGTGTAAACGGGACGTGATTTTTTTAATACATGTAAATATATGCCCGCGCGGTTTCTTAATATGCAGAAGGGGCGGGGTATTTGTCCGCGCCACATATAAAAACCTCGCGTCTCGCCGGAGATTAGACAAATAGAAGCCGAAAACAAGACTGCGCGCTGCGGAGTAGTTGGTAGTGAAGGCGCGATTTCAGCGAGTGGTTTATTCTCCGCTGGTAGCATGAGCAACGAGAACCCACCCGCCCTCCGCGCCGCGCCGCGCCGTGCCGGGCGAGCTTCGTCGTGCGGTGGGAATCTGTATGCGGCCGCGGTGCGGTCCCACAAACACGCGGGTAAACGCGAGCGGCTGCGAGGCGAGTGAACACGGGACGCGGGGCGGCCGGGAGCGCGAGCGCGGGTGCTAAGAAATTGTTAATGTGGGCCATTGCGATTTATTACGATGTGCTGCTTCCGTCGGCGAGTTCGTTCTCACGTTCGGCGGCCTCTGGGAGGGGGCGGGACAGAAGAGGAGGAGGGGCGGGGAGAGGAAGGCAGTAGGAGTGCCGGAGAGCCACAGCGCGACCGCTGCCCAGGGCACTGCCGTCCGGAATGTACGTGTGCTAAGGTGCAAAGGTTGCCTTTACTCGTTCCCAAAGCTAGTGAAGTACAACAGGGTACGTTTTCCTAAACTGTGTCCTAAAACGAATGGAAAGAGGTATATTACTGGAAAGCACACAATGTTAATAGTACTATTAGTTACAAAAACGATAGTCACTGATGGGAACAAAGTAGGAATGTTTTGTCACGGTTTCAGTATACTATACACTAATTAAGCAAATCATTCAATAATAATTTTGATACTTATTGTAACAGTAAAGCATTAAAATGATGTAAAACCCTTTATGATTCTTATAGTATCTTAAGTTATTTAGGATGTAGTAAGTTGCGAGAAGTCTATAAAACTTGAGTTTGTCAGATTACGTTGTTTATGTAAATGCTTGGATTCCTAGTGATAATTGACAAATTTAGGGTGAATAAATTATAGAAAATTATTTAATAAAGATGTAAAATATTCCATACAGTGGCAACTTCATCGCTTTATCAGATCACGGCATAATGCCAATCTAGTTTTTCGTTAGATCGCATTCTGATACTGGATAACATCTTCGAACGCGATGCCGAAAAACATTACATTTTACTCATGTATAATTTTCGCGTCGTAAACTGCTGCACGTGTTAAAAGAAGATCGAAATTCTGTGCCCGTTTGAACATTAATTTTAAAGCACATATTGATGATTTGTGATGGTACATAATCTATAAATGCGTTTCTCGCACATTCTTTGTGAGCTGTCAACATTCATATCGTTAAAACGCAGTCTGATATATTTACTCAACATCATATATGAAGTCGAACGAAATTGTTTTATTTACGACCATGAAATACTGCCTACACATGATACTTTACTTTCTCTTGCAAATGAACGAACTTGACAGCATATTTATTGATCATACATCACGATAGATTACATCGCTTTAGTCTTCCAAAGAAGCTAGAGTAAACGGGATGCAATAGTGATATACGAGTGTTGCACTATTCCTAGTAAACCGGCTTTCAGCTTAATTCACCATTAAAAATGCCGTGCTTTTGCGAGTTTTAGATATTTTAAACTTTGAATAACTATTTTGACATATTATTTTCTTATAGTAAAACTACCAAATACAGTTTCAATCTCCATGATTTGACAAAGACTACTGTAACAAGGAGGTTCTACTTACACGGAGGTTATTAGTGAGAGTGAATAAAATGTAACGATTACTTTCTTACAGAAATCAACAGAAAATTACTGAGTTAGGGTAATGCTATGAGCATTTTTAGGAATGTTTTGAACAAACTATTCGTGGATCTGCTGTTTCTACAAGCAGAGAAAATACAAGATCCCTAGATCGAAATTGTTCCCTAGCCCTATTCCTTTCGAATTATTCAAGAGATTATGTTGATATCCTCTTGATATAGAAGAATGTTGGATTTACGGCTATTTTTAATAGATAGCTTTGAATGTGAACTGTATTCGAAGTAACACGTTGTCTAGTATGGTATGGTTTACTCATTTGAAAGTTCAATTATGAATAAGTGTTCTATGCAACTTTTGTGGAAATACAAAAACATCATAATTTGGAGATAAACACCATATAGAATATAGTGCAAACTCGGTTTTTGTGGAAAAATCAGAAATGACAAAAAATAAAAGTCGAAACCTATAAGATTTTCATTAGTGATTTAATTAATTCCGTTAAGAATTAATTCCAATTAATCCGTTCTAGATATCTCCAGATTATTGAGGAAATCGTCCTTTTTTACAAAGAACCTGCATCATGTTTCTCGACATCTTTATCAAAAGGGTCAGCACTTGGAACATTCTTGGTTACAAGATTGCTTATTTAACAGGCGTATGTTGCAAAATAAGTGCGAATTATAAAGAAATGTTTCAGATAAATGCGTGGAGTGATGCTACCCAACAATAAACAAAGGCAAAGGCACTATGCTACACAACAATAAACAAAGGGATGCTTTCTGTGAATGCTCGACTAAGGGAAATGAAAGTGTCATGCGGGAAAGTTGGCGAATTTGGAAGGAAACGAATTCAAATGTTCAAGACCGTAGAGTATATATATAGAAAGAGAGTATGTCGAAATTGTCGAAAAGCACGAGAAAACTAGGGCTTACGAATATGCACACTATATGATCAAAACTATCCGGACACGTGGCTGAAAATGACTTACCAGTTCGTGGCGCCCTCCATCGGTAATGCCCACCCTTGGCCCACCCTTAGCCTTGATGACAGCTTCCACTCTTGCTGGCATACTTTCAAACAGGTGCTGGAAGGTTGATGTAGGGTAGTGAGGTCTGGCACGAAGTTGGCGTTCCAAAACATCCCAAAGGTTCGATAGGATTTAAGTCAGGAATCAATGCATGCCAGGTATTACAGGTATGCTATTGCTGTCGTGTAACCACTCCGCCACAGGCCGTGCAGTATGAACAGGTGCTCGATCGTGTTGAAAAATGTAATCGTCACCCCCGAATTGCCGTCCAACAGTGGAAAGCAAAAAGGTGTTTAAAACATCAAAATAGGCCTGTGCTGTGAGAGTGCCACACAAAACAGCGAGTGCATGTCCCTTCCATGAAAAATACGACCACAAAATAATACTGTTTTGGACGTGTCCGTATACATTTGGTCACATCGTACTTTTAAGTTCTAAAAGATCATCTCCATTTCAAAATCAGGCACATATTGTCATATATAACTTTTAATGAGGAAGAAAGAAAATGATTTATGGAAAGTTGGAAATTATTGTCTTATATAATTTATTCACATGGTAAATGAATAAACATTATGTTTATTGATGGGAGAGTAAGATTCTGTTAATGGCTAAATGAGACCCAAAGATAACATGAGAATAAGGAAGAAACTTTTCCAGAGCACGTTTTATCCACCAATCATTTCACAATCGGCGACCAGGATTTGAAGTGTTGTAGGCAAACTAGCGTACTGATTGAGAACATCCGAGAAATTATAATTCTTACATTGCCTCCAGCTTATACAGGTATGCCCGTTGGGGAGGTGGGGAGATACGAGATCCTTTGCTCCTCTTGGAAATTCTGAATCCCCTTAGTATTAAGTAATAAAAAAATATTTTCTTTAATATATTCAATCTCTGGTTTTCCCATTTTTAACCAAACAATTTGTGAAATTCTTGAACATTTGGGAAAAAGGTTCTCCATTCCAGTTGGAAAAATGATAAACGGTTCAACATAAAATGAATTATTAGTTGTATCAAATATTTAAAGTTCCAGTCTCCTTGTACTTTGTTTATTTTATTTACTAATAAAATATGTTATGTCTAAACAAGTAAAGGAGACACCCTTTTGATATTCAGACTATATGTTGCCTTGTTAAAGTGTCGCTCAAGTTTAATCCAATTAACTTGAGGCATTGACCAATAGTATCACGAGAAATTAACGTTTTAGGTGAATTGGACGAATGACATCTTCTTTATATCCTAGCCCCGTATGTTCAAAAATAAAGCGTCACATTCGTTTCCCCGATAATATCTCGACGGGAAAGAACAGATCATTAAATATTAAAGTACGAAAGGTGTCTGACCTTACGTCTGATCTTTCTTCTCACTTCACACAATAACGTCGTTTTGTTGTCATTAGAGTGCGGTTCAAGATGCTCTTCGAAACTCTGTTTATTGCAATTAAGTCTTCTGTTACCTATAGTTTTCTAATAGTTGCCGAAGACACTATTTTTATCGCTGTTTCAGAAAATACTGTGGTATTTTACTAAAGTAAAGACTTTGAAAATTAATTCAACCTATGCAAATGCATGATTGAATTCAATTTAAAGAAAAGTATACATTCAGTTACATTTACAGAAATCTACACGAATCAAACGGCCTTTCATATTTTTCTCCCAACATCCTCAGAAGACTGTGTAATGTAATAACCTCCAGACGCGCAAAGAACACAACCAAATTATTCCTTTATTTTTAAAAATATGTTTTTCATCCCAAGTCTGTTAACCTGTACATCCCAACGGATCTCACTGACCGAGGTGCTGAGTCGGCACGCGAGTTCAGTCAGCAAATGTTTTAAATAAAATGTTAATATATTCGCGGGTGGC